ATAAATATATCAATTCAGTTATTGAGCTTATCATTAAATCTATAGCAACGTAGTGTGTTATTTTCTCATTTTTAGAGTGCAAAGACTTTTAAAAAATAAGTATCATACTCATATTCTGGATCCATCCAATCAAGAGAATAACTTTCTTTCCAGTTACTTAGGAATATCTTCTTTGCTGTACCCCAAGCTCAATAAAGCCAGACCTCTTCACAAGATAAGAAATGCCATATTTTAGGAATAAAATTTAATATCATATTGAAATCCTTAGATACAATACTTCTACCCCAAATTATGGTAGCATACATGCTAATTTGAAACCCAAACAAAGCTGTAATAGAACAAGACCAAATCAGGTGTTTTAAGAAACTTCAAATTTCTTATATCACCAGCATAAGTCTAATACCCATCCCCTTTTAAACATTTTTAAGGGATTCAATAGACCCACCATAATATTTTCTGAGAATTAGTTTCATTTTAAATCATAAAAAGTGTATTTCACTTTTTAAAATACCTGGATCCATTGATTTCCCAAAACTGGGTATTTCTGTTCTTCCTTCCACAGGTCAAATATACAATTAAGTTTCATTTCACTTTTTAGTATGTTGTAAAATTGAATTGTTAGTTTCTGTTCAAGTGCAGCATCCCTTAAAGAAGCTAAAATTGCAGTACCTCAGAGGCTGCTAAGTATCCGGGCCGTGCTGTTCATTTAGTTGTATAAATTGTATATTGAAGGCACCTCAAACTGAAAAGACAGTCCTCTCAAAATCTTTAAAATGACCATTAAAAATAAAGCGATTTAAAGTATCCACCCATTGTTTAGCTGAAGTGTTTCAAGAAAACACCTTCCTTGCAATTTTCAAATTTGAGTGTCATCACAACATTAACTTCTCATGTGATTCAGGATCAAATCCTATTGCTTCCCTATTAATAACCTAATACGTCTAGCAGTTTCCAAAGCAGGAAATGAAGATCCTGCTTTCCTATACCTAGACCCCAATACCTACCAAGATTTCTAAGCTGTCACACATGTGCTTTCTAAATGGGTCCAGGGAGTAAAGTAATTATAATAAATCCCTTTCCCCA